TTGGGTTAATTTCATGATTTGTGCTTTACTGTTTGGTTATATGACTAGGGGACGAGTTATTGTTCATGATTAAATCGTATTTGGTCAAACGTGGTTTTAAATCACTGAAATTACAAGAAACAAATCGTAAACAAAACAAGACCTCTACAGTGCACCGGATAGAAGACAGAACTGACAATAAAATTGGCTTGAGCTGTTCCATAAGGATGAGAAATCTACTAAGGGAGTATGTTTTATCTATGCTTTTGCTTTTGTGGTTTCTTATCTGCGTTCTTTACTCCACAGCGTGCAGGGCTCCGACGGTCAGGTTCGCCAAGAGTATGGTCAACTGAAGCCCAGAGCTGATGGTAAGGGACACGTCCTCGTCTACACGGGCAGCTACTCCTACAACGACCCCGATGGCAAGCGTGTGCAGGTATGATAACATAAATAACATTGTTAACGTAAAGGAAACGGCCTAACCCTGGTCTTGTTACCATCTGACGTTCACCTTTCGTTAGATCTAGCACTCGTTAGCATAATTTAATTTGAATTGTTTCTGTTTATCTACACCACTGCCATTTCACGTTTCTGAAAAGAAAATGGTATACACCTTGGTATTGTTACAAGTCGGCCCTTTGTTGAATCGAACAATGCATAGCAAAATTTCTTAAATTGTCTAGATCCAGATTCGATCTTTCTTCTGGTCGAGTCAGAACCAGATTAGGTGAGCAATACGACCATTCGGATACAGATACAGACAATTTAATTACCCTATCAAAGTAATTTTTCACAACAAATCCTTGAAGGGGGTTGGTTTTTACTTTGAGTATACAGTAGGCCTACTAATTTCGCTTTTCTAGGACTAAATCAATTACAAAAATGGTTCCAAAGTCGCCAATCATTGTTTTTACAGATGCACTATTTTCGTTTGACTATAAAATGGTGTTTACTAATAGTTGCTTGTAATCCAATTCAGGTTGTCGTAAAAAGTTATTACGTTGCGATTTCCAATTTCCAAACGCAAATTTGTTGATTTAACATTTACAACTTAAAACTGGTAATATTAGTAACATTTAGTTCAGAACGTATATTAGTAAAAACTATTTTCATGGGAATTATTTAAATCATGTAAATATCAATAGGACCTGATAAAAAGTGTCTGAAACAAGCTAAAACTCTTTTTTATATTTGTTTAAGTCAATGGCGTTCAGATAAAATCTTCCATGATAGATAATCGTGATTTATTGCTATTGTACCGGTAGTATACAATAAATTCTAAGTATCGGTAAAACGGTAACAAGTCTACCGGTACCTGTTTTCAAATCAAGTTACGGGGCTAAAAGCCCAGACGATTAAATAAAGCACTATAACTTTTGGAAGCCGATTTAATTGTGTCTATTTAAATTGTTCCAATATCAAATTACCGTCTCCCTACAAAATTACCTAGAACAATGGTACATAATTGGCGTTTCTTAATACGTTCTTAACATCAAACGTTAAGTTTCAGACTTCTCAGATCGTTAAAGAAATCCTCTCACTAAATTCACAAATACGAATCAATTGATAAAAAATAATGTTCAAAGTACACTTTATTTTTATAGCGGGTGATGAGTGAAGCAAAGTAAGATAACAACTTGGATATTCCACCCACATTATAGTGAAGGGTAGAAAATATAAACAGATTACAGATGATTTATCTTCCTAGGGTAAACAACGACTGGCCCTTGGCTGTTGTTTACGTCTGGTTAAGTGTTTTCCACAGTTGAGTAAACGTTTAATAGATACCCTTGGGTAAAAGCAATTAAAACATGCCATGGCTTGATGTAGGATAATATAGTTTTCGTCATACTGCAGTAAAAAAACAGGTTTTAATACATGCGTTGCGGGTCTAAAGTTATAATTTTTAATCTCTAGGGAGTAAACATAATTTTTAGTCTCTAGGGAGTAAAAATTAGCTGTTTAAAACAGTTGTAGCTTTCGATTGTGGCAATCTTATCGATCAAAATTATTTATCGATTGATTTATTAAGCAAGATTTCAGCCTATAGCTGTCGATCGCTCGACCTATCGAGGGTATAATGTACTGTAATACAATCGTAATAGACGAAGTGATTGAATCACTTACTAAACAGCTGCTTATTTGTATTAGCAGAATTGAAAACAAGCTGGAAGTCGTTTTGAGAGGTTATCTTTACATATAAATTGTTTCGTTTTCCAGCTTAGTTTGTTAATTAATAATGCAATATGACGAAAAATATAGTTCACCACTCGAGAAAAAAGTGTCTTTTTAACCCTCGCTCATTTTCCGACCTCGGCTTCGCCTCGATCCTGAAACTTGACCTCGGGTCAAAAAGAGTCACTTTAGGCCCTAGTGATGAAATATACTAATTGATTTGTACCTTAGTTTGCTTAAATAATGGTGCAATATGACGAAAATATAGTTCATCACACGGGAAACAATAAGTGTCTTTCAACCCTGACTTATTTTCCGATCTTGGCTTCGCCTCGATCGAAAAGAGTCACTTTACGCCCTTAATGATGGTTGAATTTTGGGCTTGTGCTGGTATAGAATGTTGGGCATGAGTCTTGTGGTTAGCATCCAGACTTCGGTGCAAAGGGATCCCAACATTTCCGCATAAATTTAATGGATTTGGACCCCTCCCAAAAAGGGTTTAGGATAATCAATTACAAAAAAACTATTGTTGAATTTCAAAAAGACTTAATACAATAATACAAACTACACTTGTTATTTATTAGCTTCATACATTATAAACAGAAATATCGGTGATTGAAAATTCCTAATGTAATATCAGTAACATAAATAATTTATGGGTCTTTTTTTATTTTGATGCTGCAAAATGGGATAAACCCAGTTACATTGTAGCATTAATATTATTATCTAAAGGCCAGTGATAGGGATAAATTATTAAAACCCTCTCTTGTTTTTCTTTATGGGTTTGTTTAGATGCTATGAGGACTTACTCTGTCAGATTAAACGCTTCAAGAGCTCTTTTACTTTGTTCTCTCTGTTTATTAGCCTAATTTAATTTAATTTTTATTTTCAAATTTTTATTTTTTTTAATTTTTACAAATGAATATGATTACAACAAAATATTCAAATATCTTATGCTGGAGGTTGGTTAGATAGAAGCTATTTAAGGCAAAACTTTAATTTATTTGCATATTTTAAAACACCATAAATATGTGTTCATAAATATTACCTCAACTTCAAAAATTTGTTTAATTATTTTAATTTGTTGTTAATAGGTTAACTACGTTGCCGATGAGAACGGATTCCAGCCCACTGGAAATGTGATTCATCCAGCACCCGCCCCTCCCCCACCTGCCCAAACAACCTTTTAATTTGTAAATCACCCAAAGCACCATCTCATTCCTTTCTAACGTCATCATAGTGTCCAGTGTACAGACTTACATGTATTTATTTCTGAAAAATAAATTTTTATATTCTACTTATTTATGAGTTTGCAATTATTCTATCCCGTTAGTTTTTACATGTAGTGTGATAACCTTAGAAACAAAAGTGTGTTTAAAAATAAATATTGATTCATTGATTCACTTATTTTCACAATGAAAGAAGGAAAATTACAACGATTCTTCAATCAAACAGAATTCCTAGTCTATAGTTACCCCCAGCAGAGCTTCAATTTTAACCCATTTTGACTACAAACAGTGATCTTATGGTTATTAATTACAGAAGGTTAAATACCTCCCTCCTAACATAGAATTTATAACTTAAATCTATCTTGACTCATTCCATGGAGAGCTCTTAGTTAAAAATCCTAAATGTTTTATACTATGAAGTAATTAAAGTAATATTCTACCCAAGACTCCTGAAAAGCAAATTTTTCTGTATTCTTGGGTAGAACATTACTTTTAAGTACTACAATCAATAATTAATAACAAGATGGCTAGATAGCTTTTCAGTAGCCTACCTACGCTTTTACCATGTTTGCATTTATATCCAATTAGGCCTAACTGCCATAATGGTTCATCTAGGTAAATATTATCACCATACATTGTTCCATTTAAATCCTACTCGACACTTATATGCTTAGTAGTGCTCTCACTTCCCAGCTAATTACAGTTAAACACCTGCCTTGATGCTGTGTTTGCAAATACACAGGCTGTGTATTTGCTAAATTGTTCAATACCAGAGTTTCACCATTGGCTGTTTGATTTTGAAGTAGGCCTAGTTATTCCCTCAGTATGAACCAGCTGTAAATATGTTTTTGTTCAAATAAAAAGCCTTCACAGAATGTGAGGGTGCAAAATTCTTTTCCTACAGTTACCTAACAATGTACATGTTCTCTCACTGATTTGAGAAAGCAAAGTGGCCAATTCGCTCATCAGTGAGACAATGTTAACATTGTCTCACTCTAATTACTTTGTCTCACTCCAGATTTTCAACATGAAGGCACGAAATAGTGAGCGTGTAACATGCAGGCAAAGTCGTATGCGCGCGAAATACGTTGGCAGCACTGGCTGTAAATCAGCTGGTCAGCTGTACTGTTGTATTTGTCACTTCACATTAAATGTTATATTAAAAGTTCACTTCTGTGTAAAAATAGGTTATGTTTCTTAACCAATTTATTTGTTTTATGGTAACTGTAGGAAAAGTATAATGTGCAACTCGAGTTCAAAGTACAATTGCCTCACTCGAGAAACCATTCCTCACTCGCCTACGGCTCGTGAGTAAGGATTTCTCTCGAGTGAGTCAATTGCTCACTTTTCTCACTAGTTGCACAAATAACTATTGCTACACTAGTGTGAAATGACCTGTTTTTGTTATCCATGTGTTTGTCACCTACACGGTATTTAGTGACAGAATAGATCAGTGTTTAAACATAGATATGTGTTAAACAAATTTGCTACCCCCTTAAATCAAATCCAGTGAGGTCATCTACAATAATTAATTAACAGATTTAAGTTAACCTTTTAGGAAACTCACTAAAGAGGATAATCAATAAAAATCTAACAAATTTACCTTTTGATTGTTTATTTACAATTTATCAACATATTTAATCATTTAAAACATGTTCTTTACAACTCAATAATGTAATATAGAAAGTATATCAATGGTTTGTATATTATGTATAACTAATTCTAAGTACATTGCATTGATAAATGACATACAAGAATATTTCATATAACTGAAATAATATTATTAATTAACACCCCATTGAAATAATCTATAACAAAGTACCCTGTGTAAGTACCTGTCATTTATGTTGATAGATAAAAAAAGTAAACGATTAAAAAGATATATAATGAATGATGTTGGTAAAATTAAGAGGGTTACCACGTAAACATGGTCCTACAAAAAAGAACCTCGTGGCATTATTTATAAGTCTGTATTCAGTTGAAATGAACTGTAAAATATTCACAAAGATCCAAACTATGCACTGGATGAACTGAAACTTTATAATTGTTTCCTTAAGTATTTAAAAAATAATTTTGAAAATCCATAAGTTATCCTTTTTTACATGTAGTCTTAACTTCTAAATAATAGTTAAAAATTAATTTCCGCTCATCCATTGCAAGCTTTAAAATGTAAAGAGCACAAAAAGCACAACAATCATTGGAAACAGATTAGTTTTAGAAAGTTGAGAGCTTGTACAATAGGGGCATGCTCAATCCCGAACTATATTTCATCCATATAATCCGCCATCTTGAATTTAAATTCAGGCTGCTGTAGAACCCTCTTAATCTGAGAAAACCAAAGAGACCAATTAATCGAGGTAATTATATTATTTGTTTGTGAAAACCTTTTTAATACATAACCATATTATATGAACCTATATTATAAGAAAATCAACACAATAAATATTTGATATTAACCAACAATTAATTAAGGACTGAAATTTGTCTTCCTACTATGTCAAATCATTGGCTATTGGATACTCAAGTTTTATTAATAGTCAAAGGTAAAATACAAAAATTGTTTACCAACAATAATTACTTAGGTATTTTTTAACTAAATGTAACACTGTTTATAATAATTATTTATTATTCTTATTTGTCTGCAAGTTTACCTATATCGACCTTCAAGAAAAAAAAATGTAAGACTGTAATAACTGAAAATTATTAAAAGTGTTTATTTCACTCAATGATATTGATATAACATGTTGGATAGTATAAATAAATACTTTTAAAGCCATGATATTATTATGGTATTTGGTAATACGTTTAATTAGGTATAATACCTACATTTGAAGGTAATCTAAAACTGTACATATTTATAAAGCAAACAGTCTCAAAGAGTAATGTTGTAAATACTAAAAAGGACCATCATGTTTAATAATCTAAAATAATACTTACACTAAAAATATAAAACACAAAATTAATAAAATACAAAATATACAAAAACAAATTACAATTTAAGTTAAAAAATCAATACATATTGATATTACACTTGTTTAAATTAGATTGAAACATAGGCTCTAACTACAGTATATTGTGCTTGAAAAAAAAAATGTTTAGCATAACAATACTGTATGCCAGTAATAAACAAAGGATACACCAAGCTACACTGGTCACTAAGCTTGTGTACTATAAATCCCATAAAGCTAATTTATAAAATAATATGAGGCATTTGGTGTTATGAAATTATTAAAAGGCAGAAGTTACAATCTTTTAGCAATTAAATGTATTATCCCCTGTTGAAAATTTACCATGATCACCATTTTACAGGAGAATAATTCACTTCAGTAAGTCATGGTATTTCGATATAGAAAGCCACCCAAACTGATCTATTATAAACTTACCAGTTACAAACTAAATTTAATGCTTAGTTTTCCTCAAAACAAGAGTCCACAGTAAAATTAGTTTCAGGTACTAGGGCAAACTACAAATTTATTTATAAAATGTAAAAAAAAATACTTGGTAAAAGAGGACATTTTAGATCTTTATTTTACTTATAGAACTAAACTTTTGGATCAAATCAAAACAGTTTGTTTTTACTTATCAATTTTTAACACAAAAAATGATATTTAATTTGCAGAACCATGTTGACAAAGCCAGAAATTAAATGTATAAACTAAAACCTAAACAATTAACATATTCTAATTAAATAAACACTAACCAAAACTCCTCCACTGCTAATGGTTATCGTTCATACCCTTTTTGAATTACTTTAATGATTTTTTTTTCATACTGCAGCATAAACACCTGTTTTAAATACTTGTGTTATTAGAGGGCTAAAGTAGTTCTTGGGCAAGTCCTTACCACTTACCCATTGTTGCCTCAAATTGTTGTGGAAGGAAAGATAAAATTACTGTTTTAAGCTGCGTTTTCCTAGGCGCAGAAGCGGAGAGCGGAGAGAGGAACGCGGAGAGCGGAATTGAAATTAACATGGCATTCCGCTCCGCTTCTAGGAAAACAGTAACATTAAATTGCCTAAGACAAGTGGGGTCCGCTCTCCGCGTTCCTCTCTTCGCTCGCCGATTCCGCGCCTAGGAAAACCCAGCTTTAAGCACTTTGTGGCCAACTAATAAATATCCCTGACAGAATGTCTTTAAATAAAAATCTATGATTTTCAGAGACTTTCATGAACCTCTAGTAAATCCAGAGCCTTTCATGGCCAGTATCACTACCCGTAACACAAAATGATGACTTTTCCACACCCTGTAAAAGAGTTTTTCATAGGAAAAAATATTTATCCAAGGTTCATTCTAATAAATTAAACGGTATCAACCCTGACTTAATACTGTTTCCCTTCTCAATGCATGTACTAAAATTGAACCTTATCGACCATTTAAAGAATAAAAAACAACATACAGTTTTCAGGTTTCACAGGAAAACTTTTGCCAGCCATTCAGCCAGTGGAGAGGATTTAGAAGACAACTGATCACAGAAAACATTGAATACACTAAAAGGCGTTTGTGTATTTGTACGAGCTAGGTTGTACATTGTTATCTAGAGTTGGCTTGTTGCTAGCTCTTCACAGTGTCCAGGATGTAAGACGCAGCACGCTCCACACTCCAGTCGCAAGAGTTGAGAGCGACTTCACATTGATGCCTCGACGCCAAACCTAGCCTGAACACATACAAGTTGTCAGAAACCCAAGAAAATGCAAATAAATCTAAATTTTTTTAACTTAACGTGATTTTGAAATCCTTACTTTAATGTAGAAGTTTGATGTTGTGTTCAACAAAGACTATACACAAAAATGATTTCCTTGCATCAGTACAATAGTAGACTACACCAACATGGTTGGATTGAAATTGTAACAGTTGGTTGTAACTTATTTGTTTGTTGTATTTTCCTGTCCACGACATAAAAATATTCACTTTTGTGGCTCTTAAGTAGTTAAGAGTGGCATTACTGATTTACTTTACCTTGTTAGAGAGGCATAGTACTGGTTCTCAAGACTTTGCTCTACCTTGTTAGAGATTCAAATACTGTAACTAATTTGCTAGGCCTAAGTTGAAAGACAAGCAAGATCCAGTCAAATTACAAATTTGTAAGGCCAAATCTTCCTGCATGTCTCTAAACTTGACATTAAAGAGTCTAAATACTTCCAGGTCCTAAATTCAAGGGGTAGGGGAAAAATTCATATCATCGAGGTATTCTTAAGTAAGAGGTTCGTTTTATCGAGGTTTAATCAATTCTGCTGTTATTCGTCTTATAGAGGTTTCTCCTCAAGACAATGACTGAGGAAGGAAGAGAGAAGGGTGGGGGGTTTTATGTTGAGACAAGCTTCTGTTTGTTTTGAAAACTACGTACTATGGAGGTTAAGATCATGAGAAATCTGTCTTATAGAGGTCGCATTCGTCTAGTAGAGGTTTTGTGATAAGAATATTTGTTGTATAGAGGTTAATCAGTCCTAGACCATGTCACAAACAAATTCGTCTTATGGAGATTTTTTACCTGATTACTATGTTGTACAGAGGTGTTTTTAGCATTGACCTTTATGAAAGTTTCAAGGCGATTTTAAAAAATTCGTCTTATTGAGGAATTTATTTTATCGAGGTTTGTACTAACGAGGTTCGACTGTATTACTATTTTACAGGGCACTACTTCGATGAGGAGTCAAAATACTACTTTGAGGCGTGGCTACCTTCAAGAGAGCCAAACCAACAAAGCACTACTTTAAAGAGTCTCTACCTTGTTAGAGAGTCCAGTTTGAGCTGGCGCAGTGCCCGCTGTGTGTCCCACTGGTGCTGCTGTAGCGCCGCCAGACACTCCTCCTCAGCTACGCCGGCTCCAGCCTGGGCCATCACCTGGCGCACTTTGTTCACTCTAATCTCATCACCACCGGGACTGACCTACAAAAAAATGTATGATAGTTATACCCAGCATAAGTGCATGCTTACTAGGTGCATTACTTACTGGTGAAGTGTTACACCGGTCATTGTTGCCGTCGTACTATACCCAATGCACTAAAGCCGTTCACGGCCTTAAAAGAACAAAAAGTTCGCCCAAACAAAAGTTGACCCTTATAATGTTATAAGAGTATTTTCCAGAAAATAAAACAAAACATGAAACACAAAGAAATTCCAAAAGGGATCGTACACTAATTATTTTATGTTGTGTAACTACAAAAATAGGTAAAAATAACAAAACAAGTTGTTTTTGTCACTAACATAACACAACTCAAGGCTTACTTACCGTTGAGTAAGGATAGGCATAGTTAGCCTGTGAGGACGGTGTAGGAGCGTAGTTAGACTGTGAGGACGGTGTAGGAGCGTAGTTAGACTGTGACGAAGGCGTAGAGGCGTATTTAGACTTTGAAGAAGGCGTACATGCGTAGTTAGGCTGTGAGGATGGTGTAGGGGCATAATTGCTCCACGATGTATCTACAGGGTCGTATTGGTGAGGCAAAGTGCTCGATCTCTGTTCGTACTGGTACGACTGACAGTTTGTTCTCTGCTCCTTCTGAGGCTGACTATTTGTACCCTGTTCGTTCTGTTGCTGGCTAATCCACATTTTACTAACTAATGACTCGGAAAGAGTCTGATCAAAATGAACGTTCTTTGAAACACTATTTACACTGGGTGAAGACCCAAACGCATCACCAGCCGCCGCCAAGTTTCCATACCTTAGATCTTTTGACGACCCTGTACCCTGAAATGTAAAAATCAATTAGTGATTGTAGACCTCTTCCAACCATAGGAGATGTCAGGATAGTTCATGTTTAAAAGAAAATAAAACTTGGATTAACGAAACACTCAGAATAAAATAGTGCATTTTATCTATACAGTAGAATCTCGATTATACGACCTAAACCGGCCGCAGTAAGGTCGGATAAACAAAAAGTTCGGATAACACGGAAAATGACAAAAACATTGTTGCGCTGGAGCTGTTACCGCGGGATGAGTTGGCGGTCACGCCACGAACGTCTGACATGTTGACGATGGTTCCCTGATCGCGGGAGCTGTTGACATTCGCTTCGCAAACGTTGGACATGTTGACAATGGTTCCGTGATCGCAGGAGCTGTTGACGATCACCCTGCAATCGGGCATGTTGATGAAGGTTCCGTGATTGCGGGAGACGTTGACTATCGCACCGCGAACGTCGGACATGTTGAACGATGGGTGCCATGATCGCGGGATGACAATCACGCCGTGACCGCGTAATATGTTGATGATCGCGCCGCGAGCGTTGGACATGTTGGCGATGGTTCCGTGATCGCGGGAGATGTTTGTGCTGGCGGTTCCAACCGACTGTTGGAAGTCGGATAGTTCGGAAGGTCGCATAAACGAAGGTCGGATAACCGAGACTCAACTGTATTTTCAAATAGCGCCCTTAACCTTATCCTGTGACAAAAGCCTTTAACATGTTCAACAGTTACAATATAAATGCTACAGGTGTAAAAGGTTATTTACATTTAGTAAACAAATTATACCAGGGATTCAAATTTCAAAATAATTAATTTTGTTTATTCAATGACTTTAATGAATGTAACATTTATAAATGTCAAGTTTGCTATGTATAAATATTTAGCTAGATATGTAGTTAAATATTTTGCCATATGAGTTTGATGTATGTTTTATACTGAAAATACACAGTTTACACTTAAAACTTCTACACTAAAAATTGGGTTTTTATCCAAATTTTGCTATGGCAATCTTAAGGTATTAAGGTGTTAATTTTAAGGTAACTCCTTTTTATATTTTTAACTAACCCATAGCGTAATGTAATGAATGCAAACACACAGGTTAAAGAGAAAGATGTATTTTGTCGTTTGCCTATTGGGTCTGATGATGTTTTTAAAGACCAATCAAGATCAATCACCACTACCTTTATTTGTATGTATTTACCGCTTTGTTAAAACAGTATAGGTTTAAACATATGTTTCAAGTGTTATTAGATGTAGTTTTATTTAAATTACGGAGAAAGAAGGGGAAAAAATAACTGAAATTAAATAAGAAATGCAAAAGACTTTACTCAATACACAGTTACACACAAATATGAATATTTCACTTTTCCTCTAACAGCATTTTCAACCAATGGTTTGAGTTAGGAAGAGAGAGAGGTTTAGAGATAGTGAAATATTACAATTTTGTTGTCGAGTGTAAGGCTTTTTTGATTCTTGTGCCAGAGACTCTTTCCTCATTCAGGTAAGCCTACCATCTGAACAAAAATCCTTAAAACCTAGGTTAAATCCTTCAAATTAATAGGGTTTAAAAAGATTTCTAACAAGAACAATTGAAAATCTTGAACCCACCTGTTCTGTAACATTCCAATTTTGAGGCAAACAAACACTCTGCGCTCGGGAATACCGATTACTCTCGGACCTCAAGTTGACGCTCTTGGTTGACCACGAGTTCTGCACTAGGGAGCCAGCTGGTAGTGTGGCGGCTGCGTTGGACGGCTTGCGCTGCAGTCTCCCTCCCGACTGCGGTGGGGGCATCAGCGCAGGAATCGACTCTCCTGAGCCACTCTTGGCTACTACGTGGTTCCACGTGTTATGGGTGTTAGCGCTCGCCTCCTTCTGCCCAAGGTGTTTCTCCAGCTCAGTAATGAACTTGGGATCTAGTTTCTTCACTGGGGATTCCTCCAAGTCCGTGTTGGAGTAGTGTTGCATTGTCACGTTCTCAGGGGTGATTTGGGAGTAGTAACGTGATGGACTGTTGGTTGGTTGGTACACCCGAGATGTATCGAAGGGGTCGGGCATTGCGGTTGTGTTGTTCTGGTAGTTTGCGTACCCTCTCTCTTCCGTTCCAGTAAAGGAATCTGAGGTGCTCCAGCAGTCATCTTCTATGCCTGTGAATATTTTAAAAGTCAAAATGGTGATGAGCACTCTAGTGTATTATCTACTAATTCCTAATGCTTGTTTGGAGCATGTGGAAAAGGCTAAAACATTTGCTTCTAGAAATTTAATTTTAATTTTTATAATCTGACACTTTAAGGTAGGTAAGGTCTAAAGATTGATATCTGTGTCTACAACTATGCATACTGTTTAACCAAATGAAACCTGTTTTTACCAACCATCTTAAGGTACATCAAGAGGTTGTCTATCAAGCTAATGCACGAGCTGGTACGCCTGGGCAGATTCAATAATCAAACGCCACAGACTAACCAAGGCAAAAGAGGAATGCCAACTGACATGCATCTGTGTTCATAGCCTGAGCTATGATTATAACATTTAACCATATGAATTCTTACCATCCTCAGGCACATCGATGGGTTCATCTATCAAGCTCGTGCCGGGACTGTGACCCATTGGGGGCGGTGCGGGTGCTGGAGGGGGGGCGTCCCCAAAGTCTATCAACACCGCCTCTGACGGAGCCCTTACCGGGTCAGGTGGTCGCCCGGGGGCTGGTCGGGTCACCCTCGTGTCATTAGTCTTGGGCCGATGCTTGTGTTTGTGTTCATTCTGCAGCTTGGAGTACTCAAACTGACCTTTGGCGCTGTGCCTTTGTAGCAGGTGTGTTGCTTGTCCTGTCAACAAAGTATACACTTGAAGGAAAAAGGTTACTTGTTAGTTGATATTTGAGATTTACATGTTGAACATAAGTCTTAACTAAGTAGGAATCAGCGAGCACATAATAATAATAATAATAGAGAGGACACGGCGTTTAACCAAATGCACTGAAAGTGTGGCCAAATCCGCCATCTTGGTCCGTCATACAGCCTGAATCCATGACCCGCGAGCTCAGTTCGCATTAAAAACCCCGCGACAAATACACGATCATAAACAACATTAATAGTTGACAAAAAATTCTGAAATTTTGCACACTTGTAGATATGATACTGAGGAAAACGATGGTGTTAATTTAAAATTATTATTTATGATAGTAATTGAGTTATAAAAATGTTTAATACTTATGTAGTTTAATTTTTCAAATTCAGACATGAAAAAGTTGTATTGCGAGGAAATTTTTTATTTTTTGGTCAGAGAAATTTCGTCAGCGGGAAAGTTGTGGATAAATAACCAAATTTAACTATGCGATTCACCAAAATTTTTTATCATGATCGGTTTTCTAAAAAAATCAGGTACAAAGGGGATCCATTGCCGCTGCTTCGCGCCACGCCCGCTGCGCCGCCGGCCGTCTTCTATACATTTAGCGTGCAGTGTTTTAACGTTTTATACTGTTGTACTGTAATATTGTATATATAAAGCAATTTTCAAATATATTGTCTATGTAGAATTTTCAACCGTTTAGCACAACTTTTTAAGGACTAATTAGCTTTCAATATCATCCAAGATTAACTAAAGATAATTCTGTAAGTTAAGTTAAACTTCCCAAATATATTTGTAAAATTACACTCAATTTATTGTCCCAGAAAAATTACAGTTTTATTGAGATGTTGCCTGATTTTATTTTTGTGAAGACTTTCGTTACTTATTTTACAGTAGTAGGGAACTCTAACATTGGAATATTTTTGAGCAATAATTTCAATTAGTTACTAAACAAAAATGATTTTAGTCCATATTGTTTCATATCCTGAGAAATGTGTACTATTTGGAAACAAATTTACACCTACACATTGTCCAAGTACTCTGTTCGTCAAGTCCTCAATTACATTGTTTTCCTTTACACTAATATCATTAACTTTATCTGCACTATTCTCATCAAGCATAGCAGACGACTAGCGCGCTTCACACGCCGGGACTACTGTCGGGGAAATAAATATGTGCACTCGAGTTTGAGCCTAAATATCTCTTGAGATTAATTATCAGGTTTTGTTGAGACAAAAATTAAATATAATCTGGTTTAAATACATTGTACGTGGTAACAATGAAAAAAAAATCCGTTTACCAGAAAAATTTATATAGTTGAAAGATCCTAAAAAGTACCGATTTTTAAGAAACTCTGCACTAACACTGAAGTTTAAAATTTAATAGTAAACAAACTATTCAGCCAATCTTTCTGAAATAGTTATGGCTTATTGGTAGGTTTATTGTTAACAGTTCCATGCATTTTAAAATTTTTACACACAATAGTCTTTATGGTGATGTTTATTTTTAAAACGTATGCTAACATCGTTAATAAGACGTTAAAAATGTCGTTCAAAATGCCATCGTGTTTGTCGTGACACAAGAAATAAAATAACACCAATATGACAGATTTATAATGTGAACAAAGATGTTTTTTAAACAGATATATATTTGTAAACAAAAATTTCTCCGCGATAAAAAAAATCAATTTACTACGGTAAAACAATTGATTTACTTTAAGACATTTCCAACAATATACTAATACGACAATGTACTTCCAGAAAAACCTAAGTACTTTTTATACAAAAGTATTTTTACATTGAAACAAAGCCTATGTAAACAACACTGACTCGAAGCATAGCAGACGACCAGCGCGTTGCAGACGCCGGGACTAGGCTAGCGCCGCCATCTTTGTCCGTTTCGTCGGCTAGTCAGACTGCCACGCTCCTGCGCTCCGAGTAGCGCTTCTATTTTGTTATGTGTTCGCTGGTAGGAATAATAGGATGATTGAATTTTGACATCCAAAAACAATTAAAAGGAAAGTGGTAAACGGGGAGGAGATATGGAATGCACGGGAAGGCGTATGGAGGGCCTGAGAAATGGATACAAACTTGAGGAATTGGATCTTTTAAAGCCATTAAGTTCCTCAGCCTATTCGTCTAAAAGAAGAGTAGCAACAGCTGGTATAGCTTTTCTATGTAGTCATGAGATATAAGGTTCAACCGAATGCAAGGTGAGGCAGTAAAACGGCATGACTTAGAAAAAAACTATAATTTATTTAGAAAAAAAGGTAAATTGTTTTATGTTAAAACAAATAACTCCACTCATACTAAAGATTAGGATATATTGTATCCTAATCAAGTATATGAGTGGAATTATTTCTATAGCTTAAAAATGGATACTTTTTTAATACAACAGTAACAGTTAGGTGGTGTCCTTGATTTTGCACATATTGTTTAAATCTGAGATGAAGTGCACACATGTTATTTTGTAGCACTCTGTCGTGCTAGCGGTGGCTTCAAAGTTAGTCATCCAACGGAGGATAGCTTTCCTTGATTGTACAGGAGCTTGTGGCGGTAGTCTGAACTCATGACAGAAAGCGCGCTGAGCACAAACCTCACTGTCCATGTTTTTGTAATATGCCTTTACAGCAAATGCACGTTGTTCACTCTTCCAACACTTCATAGCTACTGAAATTTCCACTTTCTACGTACTTATTTCCCTTGTACTTTCTTAACCCGCCATCCCCGGACAGCTGGAGTCAGAATCGTCCTGTTTCACTGCCTCACCTAATCATTTGTATTAGATACCAAATGATTAATGTCAAAGACGGACGGGCATACCAATTGGTTTGATTTAAGTCAATTGCTTATTTTAATTTCTTACAATTCAATTTAACATGGTAAATTTTTTATATGATACTGTCATCACACTAAATGCATCAGGTTCTAGCACTGCTATGGCAAAGCTGTGTAGGATATAGAATAATTGTTAGTAGCAAGAAGAAAATTACTACAATCCCATTATCACAATATCCAATTCAAACTAACTTTCTAATCTATTACAAGTCATCTGAAGTGAAAACAGTCAACCACAATGAAAAACACACTGAGATGAACTACTAAATGATCAATGTGCTGAAAAGAAAAATCTATTATAATGAATGATGATGATAGATAAAAACAGCATTCTCTTTCCAAAACACACAGGTGTTAGTCATTGCAACAATCAAAAGCTATTGTCGATGCTGGATGAAACAGCCATTATACCCTTGAGACTAAATTTGATGATGGCGATTGCTCAAGAACAGCATTCTTCTTTCAAACACACAAATTGTTAGTCACAGCAACTTTCAATGCTGGATGAAAGAGCATTTGATGATGATAGATGAAAAAGAGCATTCTTCTTCCAAAACACAAGAATGTTAGTCACTGCAACCTTGAATGCTGGCTGACATGGCCACTATAGTTCACCTAAATGTTAGCAACACATTGTTTAATGTTAGATCACAAATTTGGTGACTTTTATTTTATTACATCAGATGAGAAGCGAAGAGTTCCGCTAATTGTGACTCTGTATTAGTGCCAATTGAAATTAAGCAGATTTTTACCATACAGTTAAATTTATGAGGCATTAAGATGTGGATTTATGATGGACTCATTCAGCATACTGGGTCAACAATTAAAAATAATAAATCCACCTCAAATTCTAGTACCCTTAAACACACCTTAAAAATTTGTAATTTTTTTTATTTTACTTTTCCCGACCAATAATTTAAAGTGAATAACTTTACTCCCGTTTTTAAGTACACAAATCAACTGGATAAGCTGCGCTCAAATTATTTCAAAGTACACAAAGAAGCCAAACATCTCTTTAAACAATCACATGAATGAATGAGATGTGCTAACTTTCCGTGAACGAAACTTGTTACTACACACAACACAGCTGCACTATTGTTAGTGTGCTCGTAAGCGTGCTGGACTGACCGTCCCGGTTACACAGAGCCGGATACTCGGCCAAAAGATGAGAGAGCCACCGAGGCAGTTCCATTTGAGGGAACTGTTCCAGCAGTCGTCTAACCCTCACTTCCCATATCTCCCTCACTCTCTCTAGTTCCTCTGAAATATCATTACCAATTAAGGATACAATTTACAATCCAAATGTGTGAAGGATAAATGCAGAATGAAGTAAGTTGCCTTGTCTAGCTGTGTCTTAGCCCGGACCATTTTATTCAACTTATTCAAACTCCAATCATCAAGGACAGCCGGGTCCGTTTCAAACCATCAAAAAAGTTTACCTTTTAATGATTACTGACACAGGAAACGGCTGAATGGGACAGAATCTGTAAATTTGGGGAAACTTGGGATTATACAGAGAAGAATATCATTTTATAGGCCTACAAAATTAAACTGGTGTAGAAGTTTAGAATATTTTTTTACCTAAAAAATACAAGAAAAATTTTTTGTACAAAAAATTGATTTAAATGTTTCCAAAGTTTACAAAAACCAGTCTTAGACTTTGATTTACCAAGATAAACTTTTGAATTAAAAGTGGGTCATGGAGTTGTAGATACACAATAACATAAGACATATCAAGGTCGCATAAGACAACAGTAAAATATCGACCCAGGGTAGAATTTATTCAGCTTAAACTGATAAGAAATATCTGCTTTAAAGTTGGAATATCTGAAATTTCAAAGGATGAGAGAACGTTTCTCATTAATTCATTCTGAGAATCCTTAAACAAGTTCAGGAGAAATAAATGTTATGTTATGTTATGTTAACTCCGTGGGTTAGTGGGATTATCTCTAGAAATAAAAGGTCTCATAATATAACACTGGTATTTCTAAAGTATAACTCCTTTTGGGAGATTGGTGAGTGAGAAATGCCCTCTCGCCTTACTCCTTAAGACTTAACTAAAAACATTTCTCATCAGATGTTCCTTGTCAATTTACCCTTCAAATAAATCACACACTAGGATGATGATAAACAAGTGTTATGTTTATAACCATTGTGTATCTATAATCCCCTGGTTTCAGATATTCTCAGGTAAGCTAGCTAAACACAATATCTTATCTTTACACAAAATATTCACCATAGCTGATGACCAGTTACATGACTAATACAGCTCTCCCTACTGTACAACAAGTTTTACCACTGATCCCCTACATCTCTACAGAAAATCTAGATGATACATTAACACACTCACGTTTGTTCTTCGGCTGAGCGAGCGGAGACAACACGTTCGGAGCGTTGCCGTTAGGTATACCCAGAACATCGGGTGGATCCATTGGGTTACGAAGGTAGACCTCGTCTATGGCTGACGGACTACCCCACGAGGGACCCCATGGATCTCCATGTCCCGTGTGAATGAAGGAGTTGGTCAGTGGCTTGCTGATATCTGTAGGGTCCTTGGGTCTCATCGGGTCTACAAGACACCTGCAAATCACGACTCATAACTTTCATTTTTATAAATTTCATAACAACTCTCGTAGATGGAGAGATGTTCCATATGTTTGTAGTGGGTGGTTTTTCTAGCTTTAGAGGGTTAAAGATACACAACTAGAACATTTTTTAACACACCACAATGATATTTTTCAATAGCTTCCAACTATTTCAGGAATAAATAAATGGTAAACCAAACTTTTTACTGGAAGATTGTTTTCCTTCTAGCAGTGGCGTAGATAGACTCTAGTCATGGGGTGGGATACCGGGGGGTCTGGGGGGTATGGAAATTTGAGGAAAATAACTTCCCTAAACACCATTTTTAAGCGTTTAGGAAGTGAAATCTGGTGTTAATACTTAATACATTTTATGCAATTTTGTTGCAACTTTTCGCTTTAATTGCAGGTGGACTAGTTTTTTTATTACATTTATTTTTAAAGTACTTAGGCTAGGCTTTTCATTGTATGATAACATTTAACGTTATGTTTCTCTAACACTTCCTTTAACACTGAATATTTTGATTAATATGTTTACGCCACACGCCCACACAACACTATTTTGATGAACTTCCCACGCAAGGATTTAGTCCAGAAAACATCTGTTTGCCGCCAGCTTAATCAAATGGGGGTTCATTGCGTACTACCATGTACTACTGTACTGTAATGAATTTTACCGGTCACCAAACAGCTGATTATACACTGTATTTGCGTGGCAATGAGTGTTTATAAACAAAAACATAACCTCTCTTAGAGATTACGACTATTGATTTTTAGTCCTTTAGTTGGTGGTCATATATAAAGATTTAGTAGTATGGCGTAAACTATTGTACGTAACTCGTCCAAAATGTGTTTGCCGAACTCGCATGGTAATCCCGTACTCGACCTCGTCTCGCACGGGAACGACCACACTCGTCCGGTAAACACTTATTTTCAGGACTAGTAACGTAATATACTATAACGTGACTTGGCCTATTAAAAAAATTTTATTTCAAAGGCGAGTATTAAAATCACTTAACTTCGTTGTTCCATTGCCACACAATCTAACGCCTCCAAATTTTCGTTTCGGGGCAAAAAACCCGATCAGTTTACTTCACAGACACTGAGACACTCAGAACACTCATGAGACACCACGGAATACGAAAACCATAAAAACCACTGAGCTAAAATTATAACTGGAGGTAGCACTGCCATGGCAGAAGTCTGTCAAAAGCGTGTCGCTGATTTTGTTAGGTTGGTATAGCATCGGGTTTTCTTTTCATAGCAAAATATGGCTTCTTATAACTAGGTTGGTATAGCAGTGAGTTTTTTGTCATAGCAATAACATGGCTTCTTATGACACCCGCCTCACGCAAACATGGCGGCTGGCGACACGCATCTTTGACATTCAGTGCTACCTCCAGTTAGAATTATAGCTCAGTGATAAAAACACACTGGCACAATAATAACACCAGACGACAGATCAAGCGTAGTTTGGGAGACGGGGTTAGAGGAGGAGGGTGTCGATGGGCGGTTGAACGCGGAACGTCCGGTGACTCACGTCTGTTTGGCGCGCAAATATCCCAACCCACCACTGCTACCGGCTACCAGAATGTAGTTTATCTGTTTCCATTTACTGTATTCATTGATAATGAAAGTATACGTACAAACAAACAAGCTTAGTACAATAGGCATGACATTTGATTAACTATTTTATTGCTCACGTTACAACGATTAATTTCAGGTAGATGTAAAAGGTGAAGTGGTGGCGGAAGGGAGAGGGGCGAGGGAGAGGGGGATAGGCTGTTGACCTTCCGTGACTTGTGTCTGTACTCTGTTTCGTGCGCAAAAACCATACTACTTTCACTGGCATTGCAGTTTATTTACGATTTATTGATATTGAAAGTATACTTACGAAAAACAAGCTTAATACAATAGAAGTAAAATTAAAAAGATTCACTATTTCATTGCATACGTTAAAACATTATTTTTTTAATGTTATTACAATTTTTTACCCATTATAGGTTGAAGGGGGGGGATATATCCCCCTGATCCCCCCCCCCCCCCGTATCTACGCCGTACGTATCTTCTAGTGGTGTATCTTAAGTAAGAACCCCTGTACTGCCAATGTTTTCTGATAACCAATAAGATTCTAATTTGAAAAGAAATCTAAGATTACAGAAAATTTCTATTTATTTCTTATTATAATCCTCTTAATTTGCTGGGTATGTTTAAACTGAACATTGATTGCAATCTACTGTAAGCCTAATCTATTGACAATCCACAGGCAGTGTTTCCGCTTTGTGGATTAACCACAGTGTCTGTGGTAAAACAACTGGTTGAGCTGACCTAGGTAGACTGTGTGGGTTAGTGTACTAGATCCATGGCAGTTCGTGGGAGTGGCAGTGGGCGACTTCGTAGAATAGGTTCTAAAAAAAAGACTCAAGGCTATTGGGTTAATGAAACTATTGTTTGAACAAAAACTTCAATGTTAACATACTAAAATAAAACTATATTTACTTTGTCAAAACTGGAATCCTTCTAGCTATTTTAGTTTTCTTTCATGTAACCGTACAAAATGTAATGTTTTTTCACTATTTCTATGCTCTAGCTTAAATGCCGGTCAATGTCACTGACCTGGGGAATCGTCCGATCTCAAAGGTGCGTAGGTTCTGTCCCAGCCACCAGTACAACTCCGGGCTGCCGTCTACAATGATGATGCTGTCCCCAGGCTCCACCGCTAGTTTCTCGGGCTCCGCTAGTCTCTGCAGTGCCTTCATGACAGGCGGGGCACTGCGGCGCAGAAGCTGCAAGATGGCGGAGAATGTGGGTCGTTCTGCAGGGTTCTTGCTCCAACACTGCAGATAAAAACACGGTTAAAATTCTTGGGTGGATCTGGATTTAAATTAAGAATTGTTAAGACGTATTGAAAAAGAATATTTCAATATCAGACACATTTTTTAAAAGTTTTTTTTTACCTGCTGGTGATGTAAAAGAGGGTGATGAATCATCCTGAAAGTAGTGTCAACCATAAAATTAGAATAAATTAATTTGTTAAACATGAGAATTTTTATGAAGGGAAATCTCCAAAACAGAAACCATCTAATAGAGAACCCCTATACGCAAGCGCCTTGCAATGGGCTCTGACCCACCGGCACTCCCACAAATAGCTTTAATTTTTTTGTGGAAAGTGGATTTCAAAAGACTTTGGTAATATTAGGAAATAGTTAATGACAATTATTAATAAGACTTTTCATAAACTGCAGCATACTGCTTGATGTGTTAAATCGTTAAACAGCTTGGTAAATTATATCCGACATTAACTGACCTGCATCATAAGTTTGTAGAACTCTGGGGAGCAAGCCTCAGGTTGCTGAAGTCGCTCTCCCTCTCGGTCTATCTTGCGAAGGATCTGCATTCCGTTGAGGCCCAGCCACGGCTCCTGGCCGAATGTGAACATCTCCCACAGAGTGACTCCAAACATCCACACGTCACTGGCGTGGCTGAACATTCTGGCCTTGAGAGACTCTGGCGCACACCACGGGAACGGCACCTGCAAACCCACACAAAGACAAAGTAGTTTGGCAATAAATAGAAGTTCCTCAAAACTCATCATCAATTTAGGAAAGTGCAAAGTAACTTTTTTATCCCTATTTAAGAGTTTGAAGTTTTTATTTAACCTTTCATTTGCCCATCACAAACAAATCAACCAAAGCAAGAAGTGGTACAGCAGAAAAATGAACGATATTGATAAATATTGGTGAAGCACCAGGTGACTAACACGGCTGCCTTGGGTTATAGATTATAGTATAGTACCTTTCTGTATTACACAGATTCACCACTTCCTCGTTGGTAGGCTATACAGTTTGTAAATTATGACCTTGTTAGTATCCAAATACGTAGTAGACTCCATTATATTTACAATGTTAAATTTAAAGAATGAGCATCAGAACAATAAACATAACAAAATTACAAAAACATTATAACACTAATGAAAAATACATGGGATTTATCATCTCTCTTCTCTGGTGTGTTACTGTTGATAGTTTAAAATTAAATTATCCAAAAAAATTTTAACCTAATAACTAGACATACATTTACATGTTGACACAATTATATCGACGCTTGCAAGATGAAGTAAGCTACGTACTTATACCCCTTCATCTTGCAAGCCACTATATCTTAAACAATTAAATCATGAGCGAGTCATTGTTAAGTAAAATCAAAGTAATCTGTCTAATTGTTAAAGTAGGGTATATACACTACCTTGCTATGTTCTGTCATGACGTAACAGTCCTCGGCTTGCGGCAGAGCCCTCATCAGCCCAAAGTCTCCAATCTTCAGCTAAACAAGAAGAATAGTAAAGAATTAACCTTTTCTAGTTGAATACTTTCATAAAAAGAGTTGAATATTGGCAATCTTTTAAAATTTAATTTAATATGAAGTTAGCTGATTGATAAATGTATAACCTAAAAACCATCATAATTTGTATTTCTTTTAAGTGTTCTTTAGCAGATTCTTTAAATTTTAGATTTAACATGATACGGATTGCTTTTGTGTGGATTTCCATACATAAGCAATTCACAACAAAATTAAGATCTGCAAAAGCATTTTTAAGGGACGTCCAAAAACAGCTGTGAACAGATTATTCATAATACTATACAGCTGAGCTAGTGTGAGTGAAAACTAGATATAATTTTCCTTATAGTGTAATTACTTACAATTCTATATTCAGTGAAAAATAAAATAACTTTGTTTAAACTGTTAACTTCCAATAGCAGTGAGAAATTGATTTTCAACTCCGACTAATAAATAGTCCTTGCTTTAAACGTGGTTTTGCTTTGTACAGCACTATGCCAGAACATTTCTACTGCGTGTAACAAGTACCTGTATGATCTAACCTAACCTAACCTCACCTTATCAACAGAGGCCAGCAGTACATTCCTACAGGCGAGGTCCCGATGTATAAACCTCTTAGTCTCCAGGTAGGCCATACCAGTAGCCACCTGCAGTCCATAGTCCCACAGCTGAGTTATGGGAATGTGGCCACTCTGTTTACGCATGTACTCCAGTACAGAGCCCAGTGTTGCCAACTCTGTCACCATCATCATGGGTTGAGTCAGCACTACACCGTACAGCCTGCAAATAGAGAAATCATTAGTTAAACTTGTGTAAAACTCAAATTAATAACATAGTGCTGATGGAATTGTGGTTTGATTTCTAAGTACACTAACCACTCATTGGGTTAAAAAACGCACATAGTGGCGTCCCCGTCTTTAATAATTGATATTGATATATGGAGAATCAAAAGCCAAATGGCTGATTGACTAGGAATAGGAATCATTTTGAAGAGGGATAGAGTCCAGGGCTAATAGATACACAGTAATACTGACAAACATTACACTAATATTCTGTACAATAAAGGGTTTTTTAGAGTCCTACCCCCCCCCCTTCTATTCCCCTTTCCATAGAATTTGAGCTAGATACAGCATTTGCAGTAAATAAGTGGTATTTATAATTTTTTTCTTTAAAACAGTTCATGATTACATAAAAGTTTTCTCTAGAGAGATAAATCCTGGCATGATGTCTCCTATGGACTGTAATTCTGAAAATATACAACAGTTGACTCTTGATATTCCTTGTGATCTTACACTATAAATATAAATGAGTCATTGACCGATACTGTCTGAGGTTCTTAAACTTCAATTTGGCTAGAAGCTTATGATTGCATAATACCATAGACAAATAGAGTAAATATAGACTGTCAAAGGAGGGTTCCATGATGTGCCGCTAGAGCGTGCTCAGTGTTCGTCGATTGACTACCGTACCATCGTTGATTCACTGTCTACTACCAGCACTACCACGTTTGCAAACGAAAAGCTACCAACGTATCAGACCCACTTTTCAATATGGGTAAAGTACAAGATTCTGAAATCCCATGACTTAAACGGAAAAGCCCATTTCTTTCAAAAAATCCCCAGAAATTTATAAAACGCAGAAAAATAACGAGACAAACTCCTACTTCCCGGATTTTAGGGATCTATCTAGAAGCTGGCGACCCTGGCTCCAACTACCAACTTGTCATGACAACGCTCGCTAGCGCTTGATGCTGCAGCGGTGTGCGCAAAAACTACACGGCACTCCTAGCGGTGGACGCCAGAATATATGCAAACCACAACACTGCAGTCGGTCTATATTTAATTCAACCACCTCATTATTCCTCCAAAATTCACAGAAAATTTAGCTTAAGTACAACTAAAGCACTTATTCAGTTGCTGGTAATTGAATTATTTTATAACAATTAGTTTAATATATCATAAAAAAACTATAGAGAGACTTGGCTCCTCCTGAAAGCCTGTCTTGAAATTAAACGTCTAAGACTATTGTCACTGACCTGATCAGTTGTGGATGGTCTAGTTGATGCATCGCCTGCACCTCCTTTACAAAGTCCTCCAGTACTCCAGGCTGTGTGAGAGCGTCTGCCTTCAGTACCTTGACTGCCACAGACACCAGCCGTCCTGTAGGGCTACTCCACTCTCCTCTCCTCACCACACCAAACGAACCGTCACCCAGCTTGTTACCTAGGCTGTACAATACCAGTTGTACATTAATATACTAGGTGTTTAAATTGGGTGCAAAACTAAACAGGTGTTTTTCTGATTGCCTTGGTTAAATCAGCTGTTAATAAAAACAATAGAAAGGTGTTTATAAGATTGATTAAATTTGGTTTTCTTTTGACACAGCTACTGGATTGATGGTAACATACCTGTTTACTAAATGACTACTAAAAAACAAGAAAAGACATTTTTAGTGCCAGAGATTGCATGAAATGAAGCTATTGTGTTTGTTCAACAAAACCCAAAATATTCAGAAAGTATCATAACATTCTTTGATGTTGTAAGTGTTTACGATGTTTCAGGATCTGAAATTCAAGTGAGAAAGTACCTATAACTTCATTTGACCTCTATTTTTACTATTTCTTTCAAGATTTTTATTTTGTGGGTTTGACTACTACACAGTTCTCTGAGGTTTTTTTTGTTATCTTCTGACTTTGAGACCTAAACTTATCATGTTTCAGGTTAAATTCTCAATAATATCTTAACTAACAAAGTATTTTCTACTGGACTGAGCTTTTACTGGTAGAAAGTGTTGATGCTCACCTGACGTCCTTCTCCTGTATAAGACATGTGAGACTGACGGCGCTGAGTGCCGTAGGAGACTCTGTGGTGCCACTGGAGCCACTCCGCTGTTTGCCCATGGTACCACCCTTGGCTGGCATCAGTTTGGTGAGGAGGCTGCGCCGTCGCTGTGCCGCACGCCGCTTCTTCACCATGTCTACCAGACGGCGTGCGGCTGGCGCACCCATACCTACTCTCTCTAGGTCCTCCACAAGCACATAGTCAAAGTGTGTGAGCCGAGTAACCTTCAAAACAAACACAAACATTAAACTAGGATACCACTTCCAGGAAATATTTTGCTAAAAGTAGTGGTCATCCACAATAAATTATGGTGTCATTACATTTGTAAATTTCAATAAGAAATCCCAAAACATGATTTTCCTTTTTCTTTTTGTAAACACAATTATTACTTTTCTTTCCAAGTAAAAAAATTCTATTTAATTATTTCTGATGGCTAAAAATCAAGATGTGCCAGTTACGCCAGTGTGAGATCTTTACAAAAATTGATATATATTTGATTTAATCTAGATTACAGTAGATTCCCTCTGGTTTATCTTTGGTTTCTTTGACAGCCGGATGTACGGCTAACCTCCAAAAGGTATCAATTTTCCCACAAATTAAGTTTCACACAGTAATTACAATCATCCAGTTGTAATGATACAATTGCAAAGTACTTAGGTTACCTAAGTTCTATCAGCTATTGTTCTCTAAACTAGGTGTATTTACTGCAAAGAATAATTTGATGAAATTTCTGTTCCATTAGTTCCTTGGGTAAAAATTTAGGTTGTTTAATTTGCTTTAACCAATTTTCTTAAGCCCTAAGGGTGTCAGAGTTAAATTTAGTGTGTTGTTTGAGCTTTATTCCTTTGTTACTTTACCTGAATTAATACACTGTTGACTAGATAAATAAAGTATAAGTATATTCTATGAAACACATTCTTAAACATCATTAATAGGTAACAATGAATTAATGATCTGAACCAATTGGAGGGCCAATTGATGAACAATCTTCTAACCATCTCAAACATGAACTCATCGATCCTGCGTGTACTAACTATATTGAAAACATTCGCTATACTGAGTGGATTTTTTTCTTGAAAATGGTTTTCGAATGCTTAGTTTACTTAAATGTGTCTATTTAAACAATTCACAGGCATATATATTGGGCATGACATTTCGTGTGCAAGATACCACGAGAGTGAATAAATATTAAGAGTTTATACTTTGACAAAATAATCACACTCTCTATTGTTAGCATATATTTTCTCTGGTACAGTATCACAAAAGACAAACGATAACCTAAACAGTGGAAAAGTTTCCGACATTTCCATTGTCTTTAGTTTTGTGATAAATTATTTAGGCACTAACACTAAAAGCCTTTCGAATTATAGGCAGCTTACCTGCCTCAGTTAGAGTATTTCAAGTTATGTGAAGGAGATAACCTGCCCTCCTATTGGTTTAGTCTAAATGCGGCTTAAAAATGATTAAAAAACAGCAAAATGTGAAGAGTTGAGACGTAAGCCACAATCATCAAGGTGTTGGCTAAAGTTTATTTTAGGTGGGCCTCTCCAAAGACAGGAAAATGCTGTTTTGTTGCACTGAAACAAGATTTGAACCCTCAACTCTAGACCAGAGTCACTGTCACTGTCTCTAGACCAGAGATATAATGTAAGATCGTAGACCATTCGGCCATCATTCCCGAAATTCAAAACTTGATTCCCAGGTAGCAGCACATATACCGCTTTCAGCGTTTATGTTGGGTTAAGCTTGTAGCCTATATCAAAAGTTAAATGCAAAGGATTGGTTATGTTACTATTACTGAAGATGAGCGATATCAACCTTTGGAGCACATAGGGTAAAAGTAGGCTTACAGTAGTAGGATTTAAGTGTATGCTTTGTTCACTTTCAACATTACCTGCAGGTCGTCTCGTATTCGTGAGAAGAATTGCTCAAGTTCTAACTCTTTCAGAAGATCATGCAACCAGGACAATCCTTCTCCCTCTTCTGTCATTATCTGTGACAAAAACATATCTTTTATAAAATTATTTGTAATTATAAACTATAACTATTATAAAACATAATATTGTTGTCATCTAGATAAACACAAATCTACTAGATGATACACACAGGAAAATTAACAACCATTTTTATTCTTTAAGGTCCATAAATAAATTACTAAAGGCTTAGATAAACTCAGTAAAATGATAAAAAATGGTCTACAAGTTTCTAATTTCTCATAATAGGGTTACATGTTCTCAAACACAACCATGCAAAGTAACCATGGGATGGGGTACGATGAACTCAATGTCGTAACGCTACACTCATCACGGTTAATGTACGCATGTTGTACATTCTGGTGGAATTGTAGGTTGACTTCTCTGAGACATTTCACTGTAATTGTCTAAGAAAACTCTCTAACCACATGACTGAAATAACTCTATTGCCAGTGTACAGAGTTTGCTACACTGGTAAAGCAGGAGATTGTTGGTGGTTTAATACCATTTATTGAAAGAAAAGGAAAAAATAAAAACATTTAAATGTAGTGTTTCAATTTTTACTCTACGTCTGGATACGAAATGTACGAACACAAAATTGGATTTAATTTATTGTAAGATGTAAAGGTGTTCATAAAGGAGAAAAAGTTCTCATTATCTTTGTTCTGCCAATGATGAAAATTGAAATAAAACCAACTGCGTAAAAAGGTAGCCTACATATTTCATTTCATGAATTTTTTAATGGACATTTTTTATTTGACTTTCAATCGGTTAAAGACCTCCTGGTGTTATTCAGAAATTAAACTACAAAAGATATAAACTATTATACATAGTAATCCACATCAAATAATGACACCAATGATTACATGTCTGGGCACTAAGTATTACTTTGTACTAAAAGTGTACTTTTCATAACATCACATTGACACTCAGCAATGTTTTCTCACTCAAAGGATTGTTTGTAACTCGCTCAACAAATTGCCTAGTTTATAATTCACTGCTAGCAGCAGCGATACAAAGGTCAAAGTGTACAAAGGATGTTTCTAGTCAGGAAACATGTACACATGTGAAACATGTGTTTTATTCAACGCGTCTTTTGGTTGACATGTGAAACCCAAAAAAGCTATACCTTGTTGATACAACTTTTAAGGGAACAAAAACATTAACATTTTGAATGGAAGACTCTAAATTAAATTTACGTGTTTGTGTTATCATGAAGATTTGCGCCTATAATAAGGAATAATTATTTAACTTATTTTTAATGCGGACTTCTTTTACAATGTTAGGCATGATGATTTCATTGATTGTAGGTAATGTACCAAAATAAGAAACAGACATACTCCGTCGCCGAATGTTCCTATATTATAGCCTACCACAAGTTTTAATTATGTTTCTAGTCAACTAAATTTGCCTTTAAACGTTTTCCTTGTGTTTTTTTCAATTTTTTCATGAGTTTTTAATTGATGTTCAAATGAACTCAAATGTGTCATGAGTTGCTCAAAGTAACATGAGTCATTCCCCTGGTCTTATGAAAGATAACTAAGTACAAGACATGTTTTGTATAGTTTATCTATACTCAAGACAGCTACAGAGATTGCCAATCATCGTTATCACCCATCACTTGCTGTGGGGCACTGAATAAAATATATTCAAGGCCAACTTCAGTTTTTAGTAAAACAGTCTACTTTTCTTAAAACCTGAAAGGATAAAATGATATGTCTATTTTTTATTCAACTTAAGTGAAAAGGAGAATAACCAATGTAGGCCCTATTTATAATTTTACTTTACCCACACATGTGACTGGATGTGTATTCCAAAACTACTGGCTATAAGTTGTTGATAAACATCTGTTCTTTTATTATTGTTTATGTTTGTATGATTCAGTTTTACAATATAATTGTGACAAATAAAGTTATATTGAAGTTTAATTAGCGAATTTCCCATATAGGGAATAAGCTATTACCGTAGTACGTGTATAGTCAATGGTAGTACTCATGGTAAGACCTGGACCCGGGACGATTTAATTTTTTGTTTTGAGGTCCTAGAGGCCAAAAAGCCATCCGTTCAAATTTATATATGGATATATATATATATCTAATATATAAAATTCTCGTGTCACAGTGTTTGTCTGCAAACTCCTCCGGAACGACTTCACCGATCGTTATGAAATTTGGTGTGTAAATTCTGTAGGTATGCGAATCGGACGTAAACTATTTCCCGTTTCGAAATTCTTAAAAGGGCTCCGCCCCAGTGGCTCTGGAGTTTCCCATGTTAACCTTATGAGAAATGGAATTAATGAATCTTAACAGCTGTTTCAATTAAACAAGTTGGTTCTGTTCTATGATGTTCAATAGCATTAAAGTTACAAGGATTACCAACAGGGTGCAGCACTATTATTTCTTTTACATTTATGACAACAGCTAATTTGCAACCAAAAGGTGAGTGAGCGTAGCGAACGAACTTCAACCTGGAGGCGAGTTAGCGTAGCGAACGAGCTAACCTGAAGGCAAGTGAGCGCAGCGAACGAGCTCCAACCTAAAGGTGAGTGAGCGTAGCGAACGAGCTCCAACCCAAAGGTGAGTGAGCGTAGCGAACAAACTTCTACCAGGACGTGATTGAGCGATGCGAACGAGATCATCTTGAAAATTAAATGTAACGGTACTTTCTTTCCATCGGTCTGTCTTAGGGGAAACCTATAACTTAGGCGATACGAAGTTCGCCGGGTCAGCTAGTATATATATATTAATATATGTGTCCGTTAGCGCGATAACTCGAGCAAAAATCATCGGATTTTGATCAAATTTGGTACAAACGTGTAAACCTACGTTTATTCTAACGAGTTCGCAAACCAGCATGATCGGACTATGTAAACATGGGTTTATGGGGTGTTTTATGGGGTAAAAATTGTATTTCCCCCCCCATTTTTGACCCTAAAAACATAAAATTTTGGAATTTCTTTCCCAACCATTTTTTAGAGCTTAAAAAAAGCAATAATTTAGTATATTGAAGCATTGTTGTAAATTTAAAATTCCCATGTTATTCTTATGGAGAAAATTGTAAACTGTTGTAGTTTGCTTGTTTATGAGCATATATTGATCAAATTTGGAAAATGCATTAATTTCATACTAAACTACAGTATTTTCATTTCACAAAAAACACCTTTTTACCCTCCCTGTTGCAGCAAACCTAAGTAAAGTTAAACTAATGCTATTTAAATAGGAAATAAATGTGATATTTTAAAGGAGACATTTTAGTGTAAATCCAATCAGGAAAATGGAAATTTGCTTAGTCTGCAGGTTTGCTGCGGCGGGGGTATTTTACAAATTACTACATCATTATGTTACTACATTATTAAAGTATCAGTAGCAAATAAATATCAGTAGGTCCTGTTATTGCAAGATGAAAAGTTGATGATATGGTAAATTTCTGTTGTTTGGTACAGAATGAAATCCAAACAGGCTCCTGAATTTCAGGGCCACTTAGTTTGCCAAGTTGGCTTTTGCTAATTAATTTTCCAAGTAGCCAGGAAAATTACAAAAATAAAATACAGTACAATAGTTACTGTTTAAAGTCTGATTATGAGCCAAATGATTTGTGGTGTTGTCTTCATGGCCAGAAGGCAACGCTGGAAGATCAAAATTCCAAAACCCTTCCATAGATTGTACCATAGACAAATAGAATAAATATAGATTGTCAAAAGGAAAGTTCTGTGATGTGCCGCTAGGAGTGCCGTGTAGTCACGTTGCACACCGCTGCAGGCATGGAGCCAAAGACCAGCATTGATTGATAGTAGAGGACCCATGCTGCTCCGCAGCGTTAAAAGAAATATAATATCTGATAAATAATCAAATTTACTAATTTTTTTTTAATACAGTATCTTGAGCTTAGCTGATTTAAACGATTAATAGCTCAAATTAAAGCCTATAATTTACTGATTATTTTAAGTCTAAAACATATAAAAAACATGAACAATATTGGTGTTATTATTCCCTTATGAAAAATGGACATGGAAGAAATACATGGAGAGCAAATTTCGTTTACGTATAAACCGAATGAGACTATAGATAATTAAATGCTGATGCTTGATGGGAAATCTGTGCGTGAATGCCTTTAATTTGAGACCTCAATCGTGAAAATCGGTTGGGTAGAAGAGCTAAACGAACTCGGCAAAAAACCCCAAATTTAACTCCCATAATACATGGAGAGCAAATTTCTTTTACGTATATTCTCTCATAAGAAATACATGGGGAGCAATTTCGTTTACGTATATGCCGAGTAGGATTAAAGATATATTTATGCCGGTGCTTCATGGCAAATCTGTACGTGCATACCTTCAATTCGAGACCTCATTCTTGAAAATCGGTCGGGTAGAAGAGCCATACGAACTCGGAAAAGAAAAACCAAATTTAACTCCCATAAGAAATACATGGGGAGCAAATTTTGTTTACATATATGTCAAGTGGGATTATAGATACAGTTATGCCGACGCTTGATGGGGAATCTGTAAATGCATACCTTCAATTCGAGACCTCAATCATGAAAATTGGTCGGGTAGAACAGCCAAACGAATTAAGAAAAAAAAAAAAAAATTTTAATATATAAGATGTTCAATTATTATAACAAGGAAAATTCCTTGCACTGGAAGCAATATATACAATTTTAAATTGTCAAAAAGGCTAGTATCCTATGATAATCTTTGGCCTCCAGAGTCCAGACAGGATAGGTCTACTGCCATTAACCAGTTAGCAGCTATTGTGGTTGACTTAACGAGCTGACATTGGCACTGATCTCAACTCTCGGCACTTCTTAGTATTTCTGACCTTAGTCTAGTTTTGCTTTACAATTTTAAATCCAAAGTAAATAAAAGTGTTTTGCATATCAACTTACTTGCTGTGAAAATAAGGTTGACGTTAACTTTCTATATCTAACCATCCAGATACTCTTCTTTAAAAAATCCGCCACAAATTATAGGGAATGAAAAATTACTAAAGAGCAAAACTATTGGTAGGTTTCGTGAAGG